ATGGTTGAGTGCTAACCCCAACCGCATCAATCTTGGCCGCATCAGCTTGAGTTACAAGAACGAGACGCTATCATCGATCACGGAACCCCGCCAAGTCCTTGACCTCTGGAACGGTGTTACTACTTCGTCGTTCAAGGTTGATGGTGAGGATGTGAAAGTGGTTACTCAAGGAGATTTTGACACCGACTCCGTTACTTTCGACATCGAGTCCGTATTGATCTTTGAAGGAACCCTTCGAGTCGAATTTGACTTTCCGTTTCCTCCGATCCACAAGGTTGAGAAGACATCAGACTTTGAGGTGTTCATGGGGAGCTACCAATTCCCGGACAATCACACTACTTCTATTGTTAAACCCGGAGTTGATTCTGATGACACAGCTCATATCCATCACACAATGCAAGAAACGTCATACTACCAGAACTTGCGGTGGCCCAAGGAAACACCATTGACTTTGAGGAGAATTGGGAAACAGAATTCTAACACGACTAATGCGCATCGCTATGGACTGTTCCCAGCCGCCTCCGGAAAAAATGTCACCAGAGCGAATGGATTGTCCTTCACTGCCCAGTATAATCTCAAGCTTCAAAGACCGTCACTGCCCTCCTCAATTCGCCGGCGAAACAGTCTTGATTGGCAGAGGTACTGGAAAGAAGGGGGGTTTGTAGATCTCACCCAGTCGTCAAACCCAAACGCGACGGAGCTCCAGCGACGCATCATACTCTCCCAATACGCGATGAGAATCAACAGCGCAGCCACTGGCCAGCCACCACAGGAAAGTGGTCTGGTGTATAACGGGTGGTGGGGCAAGTTTCACATGGAGATGGTCGTTTGGCATTGTGCTCATTGGGCGACTTGGGGAAGATTAAAATACTTTGATCGGATATTCCCTGCTGTCTATGAGGATCTCCTGCCTAGCGCTGAGGCAAGAGCCCGTCGCATGGGATGGGATGGCGCAAGGTAAGATTTACAGGTCCATCCAATCTTGAGATCTTCATCTGCTGATCAGAGTGGACAACCAGATGGCCCAAGATGACGGAGCTTGTTACCAAGGGTATCGCTCCTGGAGAGACCAGGGCGTATCTTCAATGGCAGCAACCACACCCCATCTTTCTTGCCGAACTAGCCTACAAAGCCAACCAAAGCAGGGAGACTCTCCAACGATGGGACCGTACCATCACGTCAACTGCCCAGTACATGGCATCGTTCGCTTGGTTCAACAACGCGAGTGGCAAATATGATTTAGGACCACCTATTCAGGGTGTCACGGAGAATTCGTCCCCTACAGAGATTTCTAACTTGGCCTACGAGCTTGCTTACTGGCAATGGGCTCTCAATGCAGCGTGCAACTGGAAAAGGAGACTTGAACAAGATTGCCCCTCAGCGTGGTCTAGAGTGGCAGAGAATATGGCATCCCCTCCTGAGTATGATGGCCTGTTCGCTCCCTGGATTGGCGGCGGCGTAAATGCATCCTGGTGGGATAACCCTCAGCTCAACAAAGATCCTAGAAGCGTCATCATGTTGCAAGGCATGGTACCCGACACCCCACTGGTAAGTCTTACGGAGGTTTCGAGGTAGACTCCCAGTTTGCTTCATTAGCTGACGATAGATGCATAAGGTGAACCCAGACGTCGGTGTTAGAACTGCAGACAAGGTATGGGATGTGTGGGGTGACGCCCAAATTCGAGGCTGGGGCCGAAACGTATTGGCCATCAACTCGGCGCGTATCGGGAACCCAGAGCGAGCCATATATCACCTAACTAATTTCGGTTACTGGACGTTCGGTGATCAAGGTTTTGCTCATAGGTCTGGTCCAAGTGAGTAATGCAGCATGCTGAACGAGTGTACCTAGTTTGCGTACCACGAGACTATACCTAGCGTCGGGTCCCAACACGATCGGCTAACGAGGTTGCTATAGGTCCATCTCCACCGCCCTATTTCCCTGGAAACGGGGGGTTCCTCTTAGCGATCGGATATATGGCAGCGGGATGGGCAGGCTCCGAAGGGCACGCACCTGGGTTTCCGAAAGACGGAAGTTGGGTTGTCAAGCATGAGGGAATGGTCCAGGCTCTCTGAACATGATCTCTGAACATGACGCGAAACTTGGGATGTAGATGTCTAAAGAAGGCTGTCCTAATGTGCCCAGAAGCTCCGGGGAGCTCCTCTTGCTATTGATATCTTGGCGTATGTATAACCATATGGTTGCACTTGCCCATCACCTCAATTGCCCTCTTTTACAAGTCTGAACTTGTCTAATGACCCAGGTATACAGCTACTCGCAAACCACCATTATATGGAGCCGTAGTCGTCTTGAACCCATTCTTAGGATCGTCCAGATGCTCAATCAGATCCTTGTAACCAGCTTGGCCAGAAATGATGTTGTCAATGACGATCAAAGCGCCGGGTTTGAGATGCGGCTTCACAAGAGCGAGTGTAGGCATCGCAAGCCGCGACCAGACTTGTCAAGTCATCAGCAAGTTGATTCATGCCATACATGGCGTATGCTAGCAGCCCAGCATGTAGCTTTCAGGGGGGGAAGCAAACTTACTGTCAAGTAATAAAAAGTCAATTTCCTCGGGCAGATCAGTCTTCAGCGTCTCTCGCAGGTCACCCTCTCTAAGTTGGATCCAGGATTCAACCTCAGGCCCCGCCCTGTTCCAGTGCTCTCGAGCTTTCCTGGCTTTGACAGGCTCGTTCTCTGTAGCGATCACTTTGCCATTGGCACCTTGTGCTGTTGCATTTTGTCCTACGGCGAGGGCAAGCCAGATAGTGCTGACGCCAAAAGAGGTCCCGGCCTCGACGACATGTCTTGCCCCCGTAGCGCGCAGGAGGAGGTAAACCAGAGCGCACTTGTCCGGCTCCAGGGCCACGAATCTTTCCAGCGCCACTGAAGCAGGTTGACTATCTGTGCTGACGTACGGGGGCTCATTGAGAGCCTGGGTATGAAGGTCCTTGAGAATAGCCAGTGTTGCAGGACTTGCCTGTAGTGAGGCTAGGTGCCTGTCCAAATCCTGAAGATCAGCCATGATAAAGAGTATAAATTGGTGATGATATTCGGGTACTCGAGTTCCGGGATGAGAAGAGCAATGCCGCAGCTCAAAATTCGTGCGGAGAGTTGGTTCTCTTTTTGCTCGCGCCTAGTCTGTGAGATGCATCCGCAATTCGCTCGGTTTGCTGCTGAAAAATTCTCTACTTGACTCCTCAGGAACAGCGACAGATGGAGAATACACCGATCTATTACTGAGGTAGATTGTCAGGCGACTAAAGGATGCGGGGTCGTCAGAGCGGCAGCCTTGACCGGAACCAACCGCGAGAGGAATCGGGTGCACATCGATTCGCCGTGTCTCCGCTATCGGACCGTGGATGGACCTCGGCCGCAGACGTGTACTATGGTCGACGACATTAACAACTGCCGACTGATCTTATCATACTACGCTAGCCTACATACCACATGGAATTGAAATCATGAGAATTGGTAAATGAATGAATTCCTTTTTCGACATGGTCAATCTTTGAAATGCGCCAGTCATCTTTCCACTCATTTGATATATTCATGGGGTGGTTGTAGGCGCCAGTTGAGACACCACTGCCGATCACATTTCTGTCAGTGGCAAGTATGATACTAATGAAGCTTGACCAAATATGTAAACCACGTTGTTCTTTCTAGCTTAGATCAGGCCAAATCCCGACGCTCGGGACTCGGGAATTAGGCAAGACAGTGGCCAAGACATTTGTTGCCCTGGCTGGAGACATCGGCTCGTAGATATCACATCATCCAGAGCAACCACAAGTAAGACAGATAGGACATTTAGACGATTTAACGGGAAAATACTAGAGTCACTTTTTCTTTTGTAAGGTGGACCATTGTAAAGGCGAGATAGCGCTACCAATCAAATGGCCAAAATTGGCTAATCTGACAGAGCCTAGAAGTCATCGGCGAAGGCTGGTCTAGGTACTATGAACAAGTTGAGAGAGCTAAGGAGATGATTTATTTGGATCTTGGTCGAGGGTTTCGAAAGAGAACCGCAATGCAGAGAACGAGATTCTGTTGTCAACGGGATACAAACTGCCCTGAAGCGGTGGCCCAAGACGAGGGATGGAATTACAGGGATTGTCAAATGCACTTCAATGCAGGTAGTTGAGCGTGGCTTCCAGCCAATGATTCAAACACCGTAGCCCGAGAACGTCCTGAGACACTTTCGTGCTACACCGAAATCAGTTACAGCCACGCAGCCATTAGACCGAATTCTACTGGGCGCCTTGCACAAGGGATGCCTTTGCCTATTTCCCACAGTCCTCTGTTCCATCCTTCATGAGACCTAAATCTGTGCCACTACATGACAGTGGAAACACCTCAAAACGTCAGCTGGACTTGGCCTTTCGTAGTCGTATACGATGGAAGATGGTAACCAATACGTAACGTCCTAGAAATGATGAATCTCACAAAAATTGGAAGTTGAACTGGCGCATTACAGTCCTGTCTCACCTCAAAGAAATCTGAAGTCATCGCCAAGAACGAGCAATGTGTCTATAAGGTCTACAGGGCGAATTGTGCAAGGTCCAAGACAGTGTCTATTTTCAGCAGCGAACGACCCGATACCAGAAGGCAGAGACATTGCATGGCTGGGCAGCTGGGGCCAGGCAGATACCCAGCAAGGCAGACCTCGGCGCCCCAAAAGGAGAAAAGAGACAACTTTTTGGCGTCTTTTTGGGATATAAAATCCCTAATGGTGTACGGTGATCAATGAATAGATTTCTAGCTTAGGATATAATAATGCCGCGTCTTCATCTCTCACTTTCTTCCACCATCCCTCGTTTTGTTGTATCACACGACCGCCTGCTTTCAGCCGATTACTCCGGACGAGCCACTCAACTCATCGAAACAAGCAAGGTAATCTACAGTCCTATTACTCTCGTCTTCTTATGTTTCCAGGATTTATTCCACTTCTTTCGCGAGTCTCACGTGCGCCATGTTCAAGTAGCTGACACGAAGAGACAGAAACATGTCCGCAACATTGCAACCCCAGCGCGCCACCAACACTTCCGGTCGCGAACACCACATAATCGACTGGGATATCGAGCTCCGTGACATAAGTCTTCATGATAATTGTGTTGTGGGAAGATTGTGCGCCCTGGCTGAGGAGCGATCCTGTCCGAAGGCAAGCTTGTTCGCAGCCTATGAAAGAAGCGGGCTGTGGGATGCTTGCGACCCCAAACACCGAGCTTGTCACATAGGCGAGCCCTGCTTGGTCACTGGCGAGAAATCCTGCGCCAGGATCCTCTACGTGGCTAAATATGAGCACGCCAATGGTACCTGCTTCTCTCGCGGGCCAGATCATGTGTTCTGTTCAACAACAGCAACATCCGATCTTGACCGGCAGTACTTATTCCCGAAATGTTCGGCATGCCTCATTCTGACTGAAGCCCGGAGTCTTGTTCTCATACACCGACGGATGCTTGACGAGTGTGTGGAAGATGAAGGGCTGTCAAGCACGGACATTGATTGCATCCGCACAAGTCTCTGTGGGTACATACGAGCTTACAATGTCAGGAGGAAACTGCACCTGGAGGAACTTCAAGAAGGAAGCCAAATGAAGCATGACTTGGAAATGGATTATGCCTGTGGTAATGAGGAGATTTCGAGTGTCCAGAGCCACGCTGCAGGACGAAAAGGGTGGTGGAAGTCAGTTGTCAAAAGAGCCATGAAAGCTATCATTCGCATTCTGTCTTGAATCTAGATTAATGCTAACTCATCACTGTTAGAGATTCTAATCGGCTTACTTAGTCTTTTCTGCATGTAATTATGAGAATCTTGGCATCACAACAGTTGTCTCTCAGGACATATCATGCCAAAACACCTAAGCAGCTATGTCTACCACAGAACATGGTTATCTCACATATACTGTATTCTAAGGGCATTCGCACATGACAGGTTCTAGATCTAGAGTTTGATGAACTAGCTGAAAGCACTAGTGGCTGTGAAAACTTCAAGAACGATTGACCATTTCGATTTGAGCGACATCAATATCATCTTTCAAAGTGTCAACAGTCTTGGGCTGACTGGTTCCTGGAGCTTCGTAGCGGCGGAACTTTCTTGCTGATAGTTGTTCGATGAACTGAAACTATTAGTGAGATGATTGCAGTGTGCCAAGTGTCCCGGATGAGAACTTAGTTCTTACCATGGCATTGATTTCTTCGAGAGTCCGTCCCTTGAACTCGGGAAGGAAGAAGAAGGCCCACAAAGCTGCAATGATGCAAGATGGAAACCAAATGTAGCCGTACCTCGGGCCCCAATTCAGGGCACTAGGGTTGATGAAGTAAGGCGTAGTAAAGGTTACAAGCCAGGCCAGCAGGTACCCACATGCCGAAGCAACCCCAAATGTGTAGCTGCGAAGTCTTTGTGACGGGGCTTCTCCGGCAACCATCCAGGAGTATGGTGCCACCATTCCCTGCAGGGCAGTCAGTCAATCGAAGCCGAAAGGTAAGTATCCACTCTGATTGTCCAAAACCTACGTTGAAAGCAGCCATGAAAATGCAAGACATTGCGACAAGAACCTTCCCCGCATTAATCGTATGTGGTTGCTTGTCGTATGTTACAGCCATGATGAGTTGCAAGCAGCCACAAATGACAAGACCGTTGATGAGCATAAGCCGGCGACGGCCATAGCGAACTACGATGAAAGCATTGGCAAGAATTGCCAAGAGACCAGCCGTAGACAGAACATTTGTCATAGCGAAGGGGTGTTCGACTTGTGCAACAGAGAAGAAGTATGCTTTATACGCTGTATAGCTTGAGTGAGTTCACGAAACTGACGTGAAATGAATTCGGAACTTACCAATGATGAACATGGATCCTGATGCGGCCTGCAGAGATACGGCGCCGATGGAGATCATGGAGCGTCTTCGGTCTATTCGATCTTTGAACATGTCCCAAAAGGTGACGGTCTTTGTTAACTCGATATGTTCTTGGATGGATGTTTGAATTTCTTCAACTTCATCGTCAATGTTTGCATCAGTAGGTCTGAGCCACCCAAGAGCTTTGCGACCCTCATCTACACGGCCATCTAGAATCAGCCAGCGCGGTGACTCGGGTATGAAGAAAAGACCGATGGCTAAGAGGACCGGTATCACGTAAATTGTAGCCAGAGGTATCAAGTAAGCTGATCTATCAGGGCGCTGGGCGGTTGCCCAGTCAATGATAGTGCCGAGGAGAGTTCCCTGCGGTACGGTTAGCCATTCCAGGCCTGCTAAATAGCATGAGTTCCAGCAGTTGAATACTCACAATCGTTACACAGAACTGGAAGATAGTAAGGAATAGCCCGCGGTATTTTGCCGGACTGCTCTCTTGTAAGTAAAGTTGAGAGAAGGTCATGAAACCTCCATTGCCTAGCCCGATGAGCAAGCGACCGAAATAGAGTGGACCGATGTGTGATGTGGTCATCATGAGAATATTGGCTACAATGCATAGAAGGGAAGAGAGCCACAGGCACATCTTCCTTCCCAATTTGGTTGCGATTACTCCAGCAAGCACCGAGCTAAGAAATGCTCCAAGTGTCATTAAAGAAGATATGAGCTGTTGTCGGGTGGTGGAGATATTCCACCCGATGGCCGTGTTTCGGTCTTCATAGCCATAGACCTTGGAGCAACAGGTCAGTTCCAATAGCATTTATTCAAGACAAAGGATGTATCGAAGGAGGTCGTCGGAACATGAGAAATTGGGAGAAAGAAGCCAACCTCGAGGAAGCCAGGCATCGCCTGTAGACCGCCAATGATTCCAAAGTCTAGTCCGTACTGGAATGGAGACAATGCGATCATACCGCACGCCATAAAGCACCAAAAGTGAGCCCGAATACCATCAGCAGCCATTTTGGGCATGTTTCGCTTGGCTCAGCTTCAGTAGGAGACCACCGCTGCTTTGAATGTTGCATCTTCTATTCCAAAGTCTGAAAGAGGGGCTACCCAAAGTTTCTATAGGCTTCGTACATAGAGGTTCGTCTCGAACTTCTGAGATCGGCAGTTCTGAAAGCGAACTTGGCGCGGGTGATTATGAGAAGATGACATGAGGTTGTACGCATGTGGGGAGGGCGAACACTAGTTTGAATTTGGAGCTGTCAAATTCTTGGTGCAGCGAATGGGAAGCAGTTCGTAATTCAAAGAGGAAAAGCCTGGTTGAATCGAAACGACTGGGATTGTTCTCAAGAGGCTTGAAGTCTGCGCAATGTCCCAATGATCGGCCGGGAGATCATAACCGTTGCCGCTGCACCTGGCGGATGTGGGGTAGTAAATACCTCGAAGACGTGGGGTATCTGATACCTGAGAATGGCAACCCCACGGCAGATGTGTCAGGATAAACTGTATCCTTCGGCAGATGTTGGGTCCTGTGTTTTCCTTCTTCTGTAAATTCCCGTTTCCTCTTTTGAGGTAGTCATATTTGTTTTCTTCAAAGGCTTTTCGAGCTAACACCACAAAATCCGGCTCCGCTGATTGGATTGGGAACCACCATGGCAACGCCAGAAACGAAGACAGGAGTCAAAGTCATTGTTGTTGGCGCCGGCTTCGGGGGACTGACAACTGCAATTGAGTGCCATCGACAAGGTCACGACGTTAAGGTTTATGAATCATTCCCTGAGCTAAAACAATTGGGGGACATCATATCTTTTGGTGCGAATGCTGGCCGCATCTTTCACCGATGGTCCAATGGAGCCGTCGTCTCCAAGTTGAAACCGCTTTGCATCGATCTACATGAATACGGCTTCCGAATTCACAAGTGGGACACTGGTGAAGTTGTTCTCACTCAGAAAAGACCGCCTGCAGATCCCGAAGCACCTGTCCTCAATGGCCACAGAGGAGAACTGCACGAGGTCATCTACAATTATGCGAAGGATGAACTAGCGATTCCAATACATCTTGGCCAACCGGTCACTGACTATTTTGAGGACCAAGATGCTGCAGGTATCCAGCTTCAAGACGGAAGCAAGGTGAGCAATATCTCCGTTTCGTCAGATATTGATGCGGTAGCATCGCGACATTGTACTGATATGTGTACTTCTACAGGTTTCAGCTGACGTCGTCATTGCTGCGGATGGGGTCCGATCCAAAGCGAGGGAACTAGTTCTTGGCCACAAAGATAAGCCACAAAGCAGCGGATATGCGATATGGAGGGCATGGTAAGCTTGGTGTTACTTTGCCGGGGTTTGAGGGTGTCTCTAATTCTGAGAGGTCGTAGGTTCTCCGCCGACGCCTTACTGGCAGATCCTCGCACCAGACAATTCTGTGAGAATGGCGATACCTTCAATGGCTGGATAGGCCCAGACGCCCATTTCCTGTTCTCTACTCTGAAAGGAGGTCGAGACTGCTCTTGGGTACTAACACACAAAGACGAATACGACATCGATGAATCATGGTCCTTTCCCGGTAAGATCGAGGATGTTTGCCGCGCACTCGAGGGTTGGGACCCCATGTGCCGAGTAATCGTCGAGAAAACTCCATCACTAGTGGATTGGAAGCTCATGTATCGCGATGCACTTCCTAATTGGGTCAGCGGAGGCGGACGAATTGCCTTACTAGGAGACGCCGTTCATCCATTCTTGCCAACAAGTACCCAAGGCGCGACTCAAGCCATGGAAGACGGCGTTACTATAGCAGTATGCCTGAAACGTGCGGGCAAGAAAGACATTCGTACAGCGCTCAATTCTTACCAAGGAATCCGGTAAGATAGAATCCTTTGCCCTTCAGCAATTATTGACCCGGTATTCTAATACCCAACATAGATACGATCGTGTGAGGGCGGTGCAGAAGACTGGAGTCTCCACTCGTGAGATGTGGCACAAGACAGACTGGGAAAAAGTGAAGGAGGATCCAACAACAATTGCTTTGCCAAGAGAAGACTGGATACTCGAGTTTGATGCGGAAAAGCATGCGGAAGAGACGTACGAGCGTGTCGCTACCCCTTCCCTTTAAGTATAGTATGGCTTAGATAGGATGATAGGAACAAGTGAGTGCGATAAACGCGTTCTAGACCATGTCGAAGCCAGACTGCCTGATTTAGTGCTACTTGTTTTCAAAATTCTATCAAGCCGCATCAGCCTCAAGTTCGCTGTTCATTGAATGCTTCACCTTGCTACAATGATCGGTGGGTTTCTTCTTGCAACCAGTTCTCAGGTTCCTGAGTGAGATCATTTCTGTGCTGTTGTAAGTGGGTACAATGCAGTCCACCTCCAAGATTGAATCGTCGAAGACCTGATCGATGGCTCGGGTTAACGGAAACGCGGGAAGTTGTCCTCGAAGACGCCGCAGTCAGCAAGATGCATGCTACTTGAGTCCCACAATGAGTGGATACAGTGGAACTTTGGTGGAGAGATTAACCAGTCGCTCTGCTCGCCGTAAAAGGTAAATAGCTGATTGTCTAGTCCAACGGCCTTAGAGCAACAGGCTTGGCGAGGTGAAAGTAACAAGAAACGTAAGATTTCGGTTTCTTCGCTCTTTAGAATTTGGGGTGGGTTTACTCAGGGTGGATGAGCTACTGTTCCACATCGTGCCTGCAGACTCCAGTCGCCAGCGTCCAACACAGCACTTCCAACAGAGACCCGGATCCTTTGCCGAATCGGCTGCATCTGTGCGTAAACAAGGTTTAGATCCCAACAAGACAAGGTGTTCGCCTGCAAAGAATCGATTAGTGAATGCTATGTAAGATGGCAAGGGGGAGGTGCCCGTGGATCTTCTCCAGCATCGCTCTCTTCTCGATCCTGTCTCGGCGCTAGTAAACTGCCCGTGTTGGACTACCCTTGTCACGAGAAACGGGGCATAGCGTGATCTTATCTTGCAGGCGGCTCGGTTTGGATAGTTATCCCCGGCTATGAAACTCGAATATCTCAGCTTTTAGTTCTCCACGCTCCCACACTACTTCACCAAGAGGAAGCTCAGCAGGCCAGTAATGCAATAAAACATCAGGAAGGTGAACGAGTAGTGGAACGACGGAGCGCCGCCCCCTTGCGTCGTCAGTACATAGTTTTGATTTGTGTGGCAGAATCCCACCGCATATCTAGACCCTTCCTCTACCCAATGTAAATGCTGCGTCTATGAAGTTTCCGGTTAACCGCCATCCTGCCTAAAGAATCCATTGACGCGGGTTCTCTCACGACACAGAGTTCCTGGTGGTCCATAACAATGTTAATACCCATCCACTGATTGATCCAATTCTCAACATCCCGCTCGCATGTGCTCAAAGTCGTCCCCAAATTACGCAAGATTGTTTGCTCTTCGCATACATTAGAAAGGCAAGACAAATTACATTTCTTCGCTCCTCAAATATCCTACATATCATGGCAGGGGTAGCAAAGGAGGCCGTTGTGGTGAGTAAAGCTTCCATTTTTCTATTCAAGCACAGGTAGTCAAACACCGCTGGCATTCTCAGTCAATCATACTAAAGTGAAGCTATCTAGCCTATCGAGGCCGTTCTCCTGGGAATGGCCATTGTCCTTGTCTTCGCACGCTTATGGCTTCGTCTGGTGCGACAGCATCAGAAGCTGACTATAAGCGATTGGATTCTAATAATTTCATTGCTTGATGCTTCCGCGCTGTTCGCGACCGATACTATGGCGTACAACCTCGGCGGAATGGACGAATACGATACCGACGCCCCCGAGGCTCCCATTGACAAGCAGATCTTGTTGATGAAAGTCACATTTGCCGGAAACTACTTTTACGACACTGGAATATACTTCCCTAAAATTGCGTTGCTCGCCTTCTACTTCAAGCTGATTCCGCCGACAATGCCGATTCTTCGGAAGGCGCTCTACGGCGTGAGCGCCCTGACGATTTCTTTCGCAGTGACAACTTTCTTTCTGGATACATTCTGGTGTGGTCCTGACGTCTCTATCAACTGGGATATAGAGGGAAACTGCAGTACTTATGACTCGAAAGATGTTTTCCGTATCGATTGGGCCATGAACTTTGTGACAGATGTGTTAAGTACGCTAGGTGTCTCATCCGCGCTATCAAAGCTTGCCGACTGACTAGGAAACAGTTTTCACCATTCCATTCCCGCTACTATTCGGCCTACAACTCAGCGGCAGATACATCATTGGACTCGCCGCCACATTTTCGACGGGCATCATTACGATAGGGGCCAGCATTGGAAGATTCGCTACTGTGGAAGCCATCAACGCATGGACGAACGTCTGTAAGTTCCCGAACTATGGTATGCAACATCTAGATCATAGCATGATTCTGAACGAGTTCCAGATGTGCTCTCAATGACCGAAATCGCCGCTGCAATCATTGTCGTGTCTCTTCCTGCCTTGAAGTCACTTCTTCATCGCCGAGGGCTGGCTACCTCAAAGTATGGGACCGGGCAGACAGGGTCAGTAGGGCGGGCATTTGACAAACAACCAACGAATTTCAGTCGCAGTCACATCAAGCTGTCCTCGGGAAGGGAGCCGTATGTGGCAACAGCGAGAGCAATTTCTGAGGAGGAGTCAGGGAGCGAGGTGGAGCTGAACAATCTCGAGGGATCGAATATGATCTACAAATCCGCTCAAGTGAGCGTGACATATCAACGTCGTGAGGATGTGAGCAGGGATTCGAGTCGCCCGGTGTTCGGTTAGTAGAGACCGGGCAGAAGCAAGCACGGGGATAGAGAAACGATTTAGATGGGCCCTTTTTGTGAATAACCAACTGGCGCCTCCGGGCCTGACGGAGGACGACCGAGGAGCCAATCATCTTTGGCAGGATTCAACCACATTTCTGCGCATTTGCGGCGTGGACGCACGAATAAATTGTAATGCAACACAGAAGAACCCGGGGACACGAGCCGAAAGAGAGCAGGACAGCAGAGACAATAGACCGAGAAAGAAGGAAAAATAAAGGGTCCTGGGCTGTTTCACGCATCAAAATCTGCAGAATTTGCAACCTCGCTTCAATCCCCTTGTCGATGCTACAACATTGCTGCTTCCAACCGTCAGAGATGCAATTGAATCCACACGAAATGTTACGCCCTTTACGACTGAGATCTTGGTGATCCTACGGTTGGGGCAATTCGGTTCATACCCGGACCAATAGACAGCCGATTCTTTACTTGTGGCCCTCTTGGAGACTACCCTGGCTTGTAGCATGCGCGGACGTGTCGCTCCCGTAGGCCTCTTTATTAATGTCGATGTCTCACTCCAAATCGTACAACATGTTGACGCCAGAGCCTGCTTCTCCCGATTCATTGTAGTTTCCTGTGCTTTGCAATTAGTTTACTTGAGCTATCCGACGAAATGGCGTACTTCATAGACGGAAAGGATTGCATGGTAAGTCCCTATAGCTTTGATTCTTACTAGCGCTACCAATTTAGTAAGACCATTCTAATACTTGAATTCAGATATCCGAATGGATTCTACTAGCAGTTTCCTATGTATTCGTCGGTCTCCGGATTTACGCTCGCCTCTTCAGGTTACGAGAGAAGCTGGCCTGGTCTGACATTCTCCTCGTCCTCTCTGCTATCAACGCTCTCGCATTAATCATATGTGACACTCTGACCTTCCAACTCGGCGTCATGGATCACTGGGAGTCTTCCGTCGCTCTTTCCAAGGTACGCCTCCAGCCATAAAGACTGTCCTGTCGTCGCTGACTCATAGCAAAAAGATCTCCTTCGCATCAAACTACTTCTACGATGTCGGAATGGGCATCCCCAAAATGAGCATGCTGGCATTCTACTGGGCCTACTTTCCCTCAACTACCAGCCCGGCAATGCGCAAGGCACTTTGGGGTATCACTGCTTTCGTCTGCCTTTCGTACATGGCTATACTTTGGGACGACACATTCTTTTGTGGAAAGGACGTTTCGGTGCAGTGGTCACAGGAAGATGGCGCATGCAGTGTCTTTTACGCCCCAGAGCCCTTCATCCTCAACTTCACCCTCAACCTCGCCTGCTACCTTTGCGGTATGATCAGCTCTCTAACGCTCTAATGCTTATTGCCAGACTCTTCAATGGCTCTTCAAAAACGCATGCTAACAGTAATATCTCTAGTCTATGTTCTCCCTTTGACTCTGTTGATTCAAGGTGTTCTCGAGAGATCCACTGGCCTGACTCTTACTTTTGCTCTTGGTACTTTAACCATCATGACAACCATTGTACGCTTCATTACCCTGAAAGTTGGCACTGGCCAGGAGAATTTGGTTTGTAAGTATAGTACACCTGTGCCCATTTACAATATCGTGTTCTGACACGAGCTCCACAGATCCTCTGAGCATTCTGGAAATGACTCTTGCGATGACCGTTGTGGCCCTTCCGGGTTTGAAGCCTTTTCTCGACCGCCAATCTACGAAGTCTTCAGTCGAAACAGTTCATGTCGATCACGAGAGCAAGAACTTTTCGTCATGAGTGCATACGTCCACGAATGGTTGTCAACATCTCGTGATGCCATTGACGCGGCGTGTACTGGCTACATGATGTCTGTGTATCATACATGTAACCAAGGGAAAGGGAGGCCCCCATCTCCTAAAGATAAAGCCGTTTTGTAAACTAATGCGTATAATTTTATTTCACACCTCAAGTAATTATGTTTTTCTGACTACTCAGGTGACTGCATTTTGCCCAGACTTTGCGGGCCTGAAAGGCACTCGCGAGGATCGAATTTTCGAAGTTCAGATCTCCGGAGTCCGGAAATATCACATGGCCAGACTCCTAGTTCTTAAGTTCAACTGTTGAACTCAGGTCGCCGTACCCAAGCAATCCTACACTTTGACCGAATTCAATCAAATCATTACTCACTAAATAGCAAGCCTACAGAGAATACCTTCGCAACAGCATTGTCATGTTCCGATGATGTCCACTAAGATTAATAGACCGACAATCGACGGCGAAGAATGATTGATTGAAACTATGTTTGCGCCTCAGGTTAGAGCTCAGGGTGTCATGCCGCCAGTATGCAAATTCAACAGCGTCGTACTTCCTTGATTGTGCCAAGACGTGCTCGTTTATATGGCGCGTCAACGCGTATGCTCCCCTTGTTTCAACCGCGAGGATGCTTGGCCTCATTCAATCAATCTACTCTGCTGTAACCTTTATCAGAAGAGCTTAGGAATCGATAAGTAAACATGTGGTGAAAGATGGTTTGCTGAAAGTCATGTAGACTACGAGTTGTATCGCTCTGAGTGCGCATGTGTCTGATGACAAACTTTACGTGTACGGATGTCTTGTAACCTTCCCGGAACTCACGCACCAATAGAGTTGCCTGCCAATGGCTCAAATATGCTGTGGATATCATCACAAAAGGCTTATCTACTTCTGTAATGCCCCGATCTGTTAGATGGGTTGTGGTCCGGGCTCTCGACTCCCATCCTAAGATGTTCCACAGGGGCAAATTTTGGATTGAGGCCTGGCGTTTCTAACAAGAAAGCTGAAGTTGCATTGACCTCACGAATGCAAGCTAAGAGTCGGTCCAAACACCGCAAACTCCTTTCTCAATTTGAAGCTCTAGTTGTTCTGGGCAGTCGCGCCAAGCGTGGCAGTGCCCAGAGTCTTGGCAGCACGCTGGGTAACGATCGTCTCACCTCCCCGATGTCCGGCCCCGGGAACACCCCTCCGACAGGCGACCGGTGGTGATCTTGTCCGGTTCTTCTGTACGGCAACCGCATCTTGGCACGTTTCGAAACGGGTCTCCTTCGATTTTCCACGTGTGATGTGACATTTTAGATTAAGGTATTGATGAACGGGTTTCCAGATTAATTACGTTCAGGTTGTTTGGAGAGTGAGGAATGTTGTACAGGTTTCCATATTCTACCAATAGGTACTACGTAGTACACTATACAACAGTGCCGTCATTCAGCTTTGACAGGTCAAGATCATGTATGCCAATCAGTGGGCCTACCTATTGCTATGCTGCGCGGGCTGTGGAGGACATGCGGGATCCCCTCAATGGCCAAGACCTCCTTAATTCAGCTATCTGTCTTACTGTGAGAATTGACTTGGAATGATAATGGCTCTTTACTTCTCGGTCATACCACTGGGTATCTCAAAGTCGAGTATAAAACTACCAAAAAGTCGGCTTCGAGAATAGCCTGGAAGAGGTTTCAGCACCAGCCTTCAGTAGCAACTCCTGTGTTATCCACACTCCTTGATCAACAATTAACTTCTTACCTCAGTCACTATGCGCACCGAAGCAATCAAGTTCTTCGCGGCTCTGGCAGTCGTCTTTCCCACAGTCTCTGCCTGCGTGGGCAAGGACGCTCTTCCTACCGCGACAGAGACAATCAGCAATACTGAGCCTATCGAGGTGGCCGCTGGCGAGTCATACGATGGAAAGATGGCCCGCTTCGACAGAGGATCAGGTGCTTGCAAGGCCCAGACTGAAGGTGGTCAGAAGGACACTGTCTTCCTCCTTCGCAAGGGTGCGACTCTGAAGAACGCCATCATCGGAAAGGACCAGATGGAGGGCGTCTATTGCATTGGTGGCGGTTGCACTATCGAGAACGTGTGGTTCGAGGACGTCTGCGAGGATGCCATCTCAATGTAAGTTAAACTATTGTCCCATCAGAGTTCTATCAAGAAGTCTGTGTATCGAAACTAACCTCGACTTCAGTAAGGAGGATGAGGCCGGCACCGAGACTCGCATCATTGGCGGCGGTGCCTACAAGGCCGCAGATAAGGTCGTTCAACACAACGGCTGCGGAAGTGTCAGCGTAAGTAGACGGCGCTCGAGTTGTGACATTCATATGTGCCAGTTGCTCACGAGAATGGCAGATTTCAAACTTTTACGCCTCGGACTACGGAAAGGTCTACAGAGCCTGCGGCACGGTGAGCTTTTTTAGAACAAACGCCCTTTACAACCTAACACAATCGACTTACAACTATATAGTGCGATGCTTGCAAGCGTACCGTCACCATCGAGGGAGTCTCTGCTTATGGCGGCGGCGAAGTTGCGGGCATCAACGAAGAGACTGGCGATGAAGCGACTCTCGTCAATGTCTGCACTGATGCTAAGACGCCATGCCAATTATACAACGGCCCCGGCGAAAAGTCTGGCTCTTGTTGATTTCATGTCTACTCAAGACCTAACCCAAGCTTGTGGGATTGGAGCAGAGCTATGATGATCGATCAGTTTTCATGATACCATGCATCCGCCGCCCTTCAAGATGAACCAGCCAAGGGAAATTCGTGTATATACTTCTTTAAAGCACACTTATTGGGCTTCTCAAGTTTATATTGCTGTCTTTTACAAGGGGTCATCACTCAGTCTTTCTAACTTACCTAGATAAGTATGGCAAGTGTCGAAGAAGATGGCAATCCGAGGGCCGAAAACTGTAATCCTTCGTGGTGCTAGCTTTGAACAACTGCTCACCGTTGATCATTGCGAATATGGACAGCCTCACGATGCACAAGCTAAGATTGATATGATAATCGTTTGATTAAAGTTCTTCTGGTGACATGACAAAAGGAACTGTGTAGTCATTATATCCATCCTTCCAAGTACGCCAAAACGCAAGATCCTAGGTATCATATTCTATGCCCAAGTTTATAAGAAGAAAATTCCCGTGGTAAGCACCAAACTCCATGCTATGCAGTTGTAAATGTTCGTGCCAGAACCTAAGGCCGCCACGCCCGAATCATCATTGCTCTTGCCTGAAGAAGAATTGCTCGAGCCACCCGACGACGACCCAGGGGTGGAAGTAGTCGCCGTACCAACCCCCTGAGACGAAGTCGCGAGCCCGCCACACGCAGTGCTATCGGGCTCTGCGCTACCTACCTTGGCGCCCACGTTGGCGACCACGGCCTCCGTATCGCGGACGGGGATGCTTGCTTTACCGTCGCTACCAACCTTGACGGTGATCTCGTCGCTAGACACCTGGCTAAGCTTTCCGTCGTTGCCCTGCTCGAAGCTGAGGCCATTCCACGTTGTCCCGCTCGTCGCGTCGGCTCCGTCGCCGGTCAGATACGCCAGGTGGAGCGTCTCGCCGGCGAGGGAAGAGGGCAGGGTAACGTCGACGGTGATGCTGCCCTTATTGGCGTCAGAGACGTTGGCAACCTTGCCGTTAAGCAGGACGAGGGAGGCAAGAGAGTCGCCTTGGTACACCGACCAGGCTTTGATGTAGTCATTGTAGCCTGAGGGATAGTCCGTAATCTCAGCCTGGGCAACGCGAGCGGTGCAGGAGCGGCCAATAGTCTGGGCAAAGGCGGCCATGCCGTAGTAGAGCGGCCGGACAAAGCGGTCGCGTCCGAACATGGCTGTCGGCTGCCAGGCGCTAGCATTACTATCATACGTCATGTGGAACTGAACAGACGAGATGTTGATCGTTGTGGCGTAGAGGAGGAAGTTGAGAGTCCATAAAGCGGCGGCGAATGTGTTGCTGAGTCCCTCTACACCGAGCGGTCCGACGACGGACATCTCTCGCAGCGCAAAAGGATGCGTAGTCTTTTCGGCTTGTGTGATTTGAGCCTCAATCGCCGAGTCGAATTGCGCCTTTGTCGTTTCAAAACGCAGCATGTAATCGAGAGTCAAGGGATACGGGAAAGACCCGACGAAGTAGTAGTAGTTGTGCTGGTTCCAACTCGTGACGAAGCCAACATCAGAGTTATTAGCCTTATCGTCAATGCCGTTCTCGACAAGATCCTTGATCTCGAAGCCCGTGCCAGCTACCCAGGCGGTCGAAGCAGACGCCTCGAAGAAGTCACTGTGCAGTCCGCGAGGTTCGAGGACTTCTTCCCATACAGCATTGGCACGCTCCCGCCATTCCTTCGTGTACTCCGTACCAGACCAAGTCGCCTTCTTGCGGAAACCGTTGTCGCCATAAAGGTCTGGCTCGTTGCCAAATTCGAAGGACATGATGTTGAGGTTGGTGCACCGGTCGATAATCTGAGACGCCATAGTTGTAAGCCTCTCGAGATAGTCGGACTCTGCGTAGCCCAGATTGAGACCCCATGTAATGGGCGTGCCTTTGGGCAGACGGTTTGCGATCTCCATAAAGCGGGGGCCGACAATGAAGTTATCTGCAGGGACATTCCCCGGCGCGGTAGGGCGGGGATTTGGCTTGATAAGCCATTCATCTTGTGAGTCGTTGTAGACGAGGTAGTCTTGAGTGTTTCCTCCCAATCGCATGTGAGGTGGACGACCGGTAAAGTTCGCTAGGTTATCGAGGAGATTAAGGGTTAGGTCGTTTGGTGTTTCGTCGCCCATAAAGTAAAAGAGGTGGTCGAGCTCGATGCCGAAGCCGGCGAATGATGGGTCAATTGCTGCCGAGACATTACTGGGGACTGATTCGGAGAGCGTTAATGACAAGACGTTGTCAGCAGCGAGAGCGGCAGATATGAGGCCGCAGCCGACGAGAATGCGACTCTGTAACGGCGCCATATTAGAATAACGACCGGAGAGGGAAGTGGCCTGG